CAAGAAAAATAGAATATATTTTCATTGAACATTTTCATTATTTTCTCATGCCCATCCTTCAGCGGCTGCCTGTTACCAGGGTTAGCAAATATGGATTTGCTAAATTTCATACAGTCTGTTGTTGCTCAGTTGTGCAGTCGTGTCCGACTCTGCAACTCCATGGACTACAGCATGCCAGGCTTCCCTATTCTTCACCATCTCCAGGAGGTTGCTCAGACTCCAGTCTGCTGAGTCAATGAAGCCATCCAACTATCTCATCCTCTTTTGCCCCCTTCTCCTCTGCCCTCAGTCTTTCCCAGCACCAGGGTCTTTTCTAAAGAGTCAGCTCTCTGCATTGGGTGGCCAAAAGATTGGAGTTTCAGCTTCAGCATCAGTCCTTCCAATGAATATTCAGGATTGATCTCCTTTAGGATTGACTGGTTTGATCTCCTTGTTGTCCAAGGGACTCTCAGGTGTCTTCTCCAGCATTACAATTCAAAAGCATCAGTACTTTGGTGCTCAGCCTTCTTTATGGTCCAACTCTCACATCTGTACATATTGTTTAATGCTATAATGTGACTCAGAAAGGAGTTTGAGTTTAATGTAACACCGTTCAAGAAACAGAGGAAAAAAATAGAATGGGACAGACTAGAGATCTCTTCAAGAAAATTAGATACCAAGGGAACGTTTCATGCAAAGATGGGTATAATACAGGACAGAAATGGTATGGGCCTAACAGAAGCAGAAGATATTAAGAAGAGGTGGCAAGAATACACAGAAGAACTATACAAAAAAGATCTTCACGACCCAGATAATTACGATGGTCACTCACCTAGAGCCAGACATCTTGGAATGCGAAGTGGGCCTTAGGAAGCATCACTAAAAACAAAGCTAGTGGAGGTGATGGAATTCCAGCTGAACTCTATTTCAAGTCCTAAAAGATGATGCTGTGAAAGTGATGCACTCAATATGCCAGCAAATTTGGAAAAATCAGCAGTGGCCACAGGACTGGAAAAGGTCAGTTTTCATTCTAATCCCAAAGAAAGCAATGCCAAAGAATGTTCAAACTACTGCACAATTGCACTCATCTCACACACTAATAAAGTAATGCTCAAAATTCTCCAAGCTAGGCTTCAACTGTCCATGAACTGTGAATTTCCAGATGTTCAAGCTGGATTTAGAAAAGGCAGAGGAACCAGAGATCAAATTGCCAACATGCCATTGGATCACTGAAAAAGCAAGAGAATTCTAGAAAAACATCTACTTCTGCTTTATTGACTATGCCAAAGACTTTGACTGTGTGGTCCACAACAAACTCTGGAAGATTCTTAAAGAGATGGGAATACCAGACCACCTCACCTGCCTCCTGAGAAATCTGTATGCAGGTCAGGAATCAACAGTTAGAACTGGACATGGAACAACAGACTGGTTCCAAATAGAGAAAGGAGTACATCAAGACTGTATATTGTCACCCTGCTTATTTAACTGATATGCGGAGTACATCATGAGAAATGCTGGGCTGGAGGAAGCACAAGCTGGAATCAAGATTGCTGAGAGAAGTATCAAAAACCTCAGATATGCAGATGGCACCACCCTTATGGCAGAAAGTGAAGAACTAAAGAGCCTCTTGATAAAAGTGAAAGAGGAGAGTGAAAGAGCTGGCTTAAAGCTCAACAATCAGAAAACTACGATCATGGCATCTGGTCCCATTACTTCATAGCAAACAGATGGGGAAACAGTGGAAACAGTGAGAGACTAGTTTTGGGGGTTCTAAAATCACTGCAGATGGTGAGTGCAGCCATGAAATTAAAAGATGCTTACTCCTTGGAAGGAAAGTTATGACCAACCTAGACAGCATATTAAAAAGCAGAGACATTACTTTGCCAACAAAGGTCCGTCTAGTCAAGGCTATGGTTTTTCCAGTGGTCATGTATGGATGTGAGAGTTGGACTGTGAAGAAAGCTGAGCGCCGAAAAATTGATGCTTTTGAACTGTGGTGTTGGAGAAGACTCTTGAGAGTCCCTTGGACTGCAAGGAGATCCAACCAGTCCATCCTAAAGGAGATCAGTCCTGGGTGTTCATTGGAAGGACTGATGCTGAAGCTGAAACCCCAATACTCTGGCTACCTGATGCAAAGAACTGGCTCATTAGAAAAGACCCTGATGCTAGGAAAGATTGAAGGCAGGAGAAGGGGACAACAGAGGATGAGATGGTTGGATGGCATCACCGACTCAGTGGACATGAGTTTGAGTAAATTCTGGGATTTGACCTTGGACAGGGAAGCCTAGCGTGCTGCAGTCCATGGGGTTGCAAAGAGTCGGACACAACTGAGTGACTGAACTGAACTGTTCACACTTCCCAAGTACTTAGAAGTGGAAGTGTTTTCTCACAGATCAAGAACACAGCTTTTGGAAGTTTCCCAGACCAAACCTTCAATCACACTGAAACTGAGTCAAAGAACTCCTTAATCTGACTTCATCATTTATATCAGTGAGAAAAAAAACATGGACTTTTTTGTCTTCAAGAATTTTGAAGCTTCCAGAAATTCTGTGGAGAAGTTATAAAAAGACAATTTCAAAGCAAAACTCAAGCTTCTAACCAAAGTGTGTGTACTAAATTTCTAAGCTGACCACTGGAAACTTCCTCTAGGAAAAAACAAAGGGCCCGCAGCTAGAAGAGTGAAGGGGTTCAGGCTAGAGTGACTTAGAGCTAGAGATGGGAAAGGCCTAATAGCTGCCTTGTCGTACAAAATCAACTGACACAACATGAACAAAAATTAGAATTCTAATAAAATTTCTAAGTATTTTCCCTACTACTCTAAAGCATGTCACTTTGTTAGAATAATTTTAATTTTTTAAGTAATCTACTTTATCTATCCTAACATATCAAAACAGTGACATCAACATGTAATCAATGACAATTAATAAACCGCCTAACAGTTTGTTTCATGCTGAGTCTGAATTCCAGTGTACATTTTTACTTATGGCGCATTTTGATTTGGATGTTAAATTTTCATCAGAAACCTTTGACCTGCATTTTGTTGTTCAGTTGCTAAGTCATGTCCGACTCTGTGACCCCATGGACTGCAGCACACCAGGCTTCCCTGTTCCTGTCCTTCACCATCTCCCAGAGTTTGCTCAAACTCATGTCCATTGAGTCAGTGATGCCATCCAACCATTTCATCCTGTATCACCCCCTTCTCCTCCTGCCTTCAATCTTTTCCACCATCAGGGCCTTTTCCAATGTAGTCAGCTCTTTGCATCAGGTGGCTGAAGTATTGGAGCTTCAGCTTCAATCCTCCCAATGAATATTCAGTATTGATTTCCTTTAGGATTGGTTTGATCTTCTTGTATTTAAATTTTAAAAAATTTATGGTTAAGAAAGTCAATTTACATACTCAAGTTATTCCAAAGACACTTAAATGTTTCCCAATAACTGGACTGAGTGTGTGGTGTTTAGTCGCTAAGTCGTTTCTGACTCTTTTGTGACCCCCCTGGCCTGTAGCCCTCCAGGCTTCTCCGTCCATGGGATTCTCCAGGCAAGAATACCGGAGTGGGTTGCCATTTCCTCCTCCATTAATTACATTTTATATCTATAAATAAGACAGGCCTTTTTCTTAATTGCTCAATTGCTTAGTAATAATCAATTGTAATTATTAGTAATAATCAAAAGTAATTGCTCAATTGCTTAGTAATAAACCTGGCTCCAGTCAGAAATAGGAAACTTTTCCAACAACTGCTTCACATTTACGACTTCGTATAGTTCATGCACCATGCTCTGACTGTACATACACTTCTTTTGAAGCTCATCTGGTGCTTAATTCACTGCATGATTTGTCTGAGGTCCCAGCTCCCAGCTGTTCTATCCATGCCATGTCTGACTCCTTCACTCACACTCTTGTTCTCTGACACCTTGTGGGTGTCTCAGTAAGATACTTAGCAGATAATGTCACGTGAGAAAAAAAACAAGAGCTACATAGTACCATGCCTTTTGGTTTTAAAAAGTCCCGTACACATCTGTATATGTATAAGGGACTAGAAAGTTAAACACCCAAGTGTCTTCTCCATGTTCATCTGTATTTTCTAGCATTATTACCTTTTAATTTTATTATTTTTCCATTCATTATTACCTTTTTAATAAAGGAAAATAAAAGCTTACATACAATCTAGCTCCTTAAAAAATACTCAGAATTACAAAAGGAAAACTAATAGCTATACTGTGGAGACAGGGACAATATCAGAAACAAGTGGTCAAAATTAACATCACCAATAAAGTGCAGATGCCACGTGCCTCCATCTGTGATCTGAGGATATGACAGCACGTATACTGCTGCACGACAGGAATCCATCATGATGTACATAAGACACACACACAGCAGGAACTGACTATTCTATACAATAGTCTGTACTCTTCAGAAGTGTCAAGGTTACTCAGAAAGGCTGAGGAACTGTTTCAGATTAAGAGGCAGAGAGGCTAAAGAGACACGACAACTAAGTGGAATGTGTGATCCTAGACTAGATCTTCTAATGGAAAAACAATCACTATTGGAACGATGGATGAAATTTATTGTCAGTAGATTAGAATGTTGTATCAATGTTAAATTTCTTGAATCTGCTAACTGCACTGTGGTCATATAAGAAAATAACCTCATTTATAAGAATGTACAATGAAGTTTTAAAGGGATAAAGATGTGTGATGTGTAAAATCTACTTTAAATAGTTCATAAAAAATACTGTGGAGGAGAGGAGAAAGAGGGAGAGAGAGGAGACAAATGTGGCAAAACGTTAAAAACTGGTGAATCTAGAGGAACTTCCAGTGGTCCAGTGGTTAAGAATCCAAGCTCCCCAGGTTCAGTCCCTGGTCAGGGAACTAGATTCCCCATGCCACAACTAACAGTCTGCATGCCACAACTAAGACCTGGCACAGCCAAAAAAAAAAAAAAAAAAAAATTGGTGAATCTGAGTTAAAAGTACATAAGACTGTCTTATTCTTTTAACTTTTCTGTATGAAATCTTAGCCTATCAGGCACAAGTTTGTTTATTTATAAGAAATAATACACACAAAGTAAGTTACAAATTATAGTGCATATTCACATTTCAATTAAGCCTTGAGCAGGTATGTAAAATAATTTTTAAATATCTTCTAAGATAGAAAATTCTTTTTTCTGAAATAAGTTTTTATATAAAGTCAAATCCTTATTACTTAAGGACGGTTTTACAGTCTTAAGTGATTCTAGAAAGTGCTCTTGTTTCACTGTGGTTGCTTCCAGTCCATTTTCTTGCAGAGCCAGCAAGGCGGCCTATAAAAGACAAACAATAGGAAATAATAAATACGCTTCACTGTTGTTTTATGATATATGGTTATACTTTAAAATCTGAACATCAAAATCTCAGTCTCACTTCACAGAAGTTCAATATTCGTGGCAATAAAAACATTAAGCTAAAAAGTTAAAGTGATTAAGTCTTCTCAGTGGACCATCTTTCCTTCTACATTACATTCTAGCCTTAAATGTGGGGGAGGAGGGGTGGAGCAGCGTGCAGAACAACTATATTGGAGTATAGATGAGATCAACTGTACTCCAATATAAAATTAAAAAAACAAAAAAAGATGAGCGACTGTATTCCTGATCTCAGAGTAGGAGTTTTTAAACAGGACACAGCACTGATCATAAAGAAATGGAAAATGAACAAACCACTGTTATACACAGGCTTCCCTGGTGGCTCAAATGATAAAAAATCTGCCTGCAATGCAGGAGACCAGGGCTCACTCCCTGGGTCAGGAAAATCCCCTGGAGAAGAGAATAACCCACTCCAGTATTCTTGCCTAGAGAATTCCAAGGACAGAGGAGCCTGGTGGGCTACAGTCCATGGGATCATAAAGAGTCAGACATGACTGAACAATTAACACTTTCACTGTTACACACAAAACCACGGAAGAATTTCACAGACATAATCTTGAGTTAAAGAAGCAGACGGAAAAGGATACCATATGGTTCCATTAATATAAAGTGCAAAAGTCATCTCCCCAGTGCTAGAAATCAGGAGAGTGGTTCTTTGGTGATAGAGTAGGAAGGCCCACGAAAACTTCTAGCATGCTGATGACATTCTTTCTTGACCCAAGTGGTAGTTACACAAGTGTGTTCACTTTGTTAATTCAGTGGGCTTTATCCTGATCTGTGCATTTTTCTGATGTTATATTTTCACAAGTTTTTGGAAAGGAAAAACCTACAATGGCTGACCTTTTTTCTGCCCTCAAGATAAAGTTTAAATGCCTTAGAGTGCCTTACAGGGACCTGTGGGAGCCGGCCACTGGCCACCTCTTCAACAATGTCATCCCCTCACCTCTGATCACCTGCATGTTTTATTCCCTGTGCCTCAAACACTCCCCTTCTCTCCCACAGACTGGCTAACTCCCTAATCGTCCTTCCACTTGCAATGTACACACACCTTCTCTCAGAAAGCCTTCTCTTATTTTCAAGTCTGGACTGGTATTCTTCCTAGCACCCTAAACTTCCCTGACTCACTACATTTTTAAATTAAGTATCACCTCTCGGTACCACCCCCTGTCCCATCAACCCGTAAGCCCTGAAGAGAAGGTAAGGGACCAGAGCGGCTTGTTTCACCTCCCACTGTGCCTCCCTTTCAGTAAATACTGCCAAGTGAATGAAGATCTGAATAAATGCAGAAATGTGTAAATTTTCTTCACTAATTAACTTACTTCTTTGCAGAGGTTTCCAAGATCAGCTCCAGAGAAAAAACAGGTTTCTGCTGCTACCTTTTCTAAGGAAACATCAGGCCCCATTGGCATATTTTTGGTACAGACTTTCAGAATAGAAAGCCTTCCCTGGAATAAAATAAATCATAATATGTTTAGAAGCTTAATGTTTGACACAATGTTATATTAAAACACAGAATTTTCTATATTACAGAGAAAGTATATATATTTAAGAATTAAAAAATAAGAATCAGTTTTTCTCAAGAGGTAAGAAAGTAAATGTGACATCAAGATAAATTTTAATATTTTTATAATTTTAAAAAAGTAAAATAGATTAAAAAAAATTTTTCATCCCTTCAAAATCTAATAAATAAAAAATGCAATTTCTGTGTCTTTCACCACTCACTGCCAGTGGCTCTGGTTGTGAAGGACAAAGGGTTTACTGATTCTTTGGCTGTGGATACATTATATAATCTCTGTAAGCTCAGATTTCTCCATTGCAAAATAAGGATGCTCACCCAGATAATCTCCAAAACTCTTTAACGCTTTAGGATTCTTCCACTCTAGCTGCAAAATAATGTTGAGGAGACTCTTAAACTCAGTATTTTGAGTCTTCCACAAAGCTGAAATTACTACCATTTTTTAGGCTTATGTTTCTCTGAAAACATGGCCAGCGTACCCAGCAAAAGCAGATGAAAATGATGATATATGATGGGCCATCAGGTAAGGAAAAACACAGAATCCAATATAGGACACACACCATGTATACCGACATCCAGTCAGGAACTCAACTCTGCCATCTTCTTAGAGCTCAGACACTGATGTGTTACTAGGAATGCTCACACAGAGTAAACGTGCACAGTGATTACCTTTTCATCTGGAGGTGGAATATAAATAATCTTATCTAGTCTTCCAGGCCGTAACAAGGCATCATCTAACACATCAGGTCTATTTGTTGCTGCAACAACCATGACGTTGCTATTGAAAATTTCTTGAAACTCTAGCTGAGGGAAAATATACAACACAAAGTAACATCAATAAGTTGTTAATTAGTAAATGTATTTTTTTAAATTACAAATCAGCAGGTCCATTTGTTTTTAAATAGGAGAATACTGTTTTCTTCAGACTAGAATGCTTACATTTCCTATCCAGACCACCTTCTCAATATCAAGGCACCCTAGAAACAAATTATTAATCAAAGAGCTACTCTGTGCACACAGTGAAGGGAGTGATCAACCCCAGTGGGGCATCTCTCAATGTGAGAACTGATGAAAAAAGCTCTACACCACAGCAGAGAACATCTATCTGCTGACCTGAATGCATCTGAGTCCCAGCCAATGATTACAACTTAAATGCATGACTTGAAAAGACAGAAGTATCTGACTAGCAACATAGTATACCTATGAAAAGTCTTGGCTCTCATGTTCTTGAAGAGGGAGATTTATTTTACCTCTTTTTTTTTTTTCTTTACAGAGGCAAAAATATAACAACTAATATAAGTTGCATGTATATAAATCCAGGATGAAGATTTTTTTAAAATATCTAAGAGCTGCTATAGCAAGGCCTTACACATGCTAAGCATTCAGAATTGCTGAACTTAATTTTCAGAGCAGTTTTTCCATAATGTGATTTCTCAAAGCAATGAGTTCCCTGTATCTGCAAATATTTTAACAGAGGCTAGGTAAACACCTGTCAGAGGCTATAGAAGGAATTCCTGCTTTATGAGAATTGATTAGAACACCTCATGGGTCCCTTCAAATTCTAGTGGCACATGTCTCTAAGAAGCTATAAGATTCTCTTTCTATGGAACAATTTAAGAAATGGGAAACAAGAAACAACCAGAAAAAACAAATAAAAGTTTAGGAAGGAACAGGATTTCCAAAGGTCAGTTTAACTTCATCAGAACCAAGGAAACCTCAACAAAGCTGGAAGTTTTTAATTACTGACTATTGGAAAGAATAGTCTGTTTTCTTCCATTTCACATAAAACACCAGTTTCACAGGATACAGAAATTAAGACACTCCCTTCACTAGCAATATGTAGTTATATTTCTAATCTTAGGAAAAAATTCACATTCATACATATCTAAAATACTTTATTATAAAATTTGCCTCATCTTCCCAGCTAAATCACAATTTTATCAGCTCTGTAAAAATCCTAATAGTCAAACAAATTATAGAGATGAATCCAGCATAGGGAAAGATAATATAGATGCAGTCTGTTTGGCCTGGATTTTTGGTGTATCCTGGCTAGTAAATACCTCTTCATTTGTTTCCAGCTGCTTGCATTTACCATGTTGATCTGATTTACTTCCTCTTCTCTCTATAGTCTTCAATCCAACACCATCTAATTCATTTAGAAGAACAGAAAGAACACGATCTTGAACATTACATTCTGTTCTGCTGATTGATCGAGAGCCCAAGATTGAATCAATTTCATCCAAAAACACAATTGCTGGTGTATTTGCTCTTGCTTGTCGAAATACCTTTTGTTCAAAAGTGGAAATATTAAAAGGCTATACATCATGCCTTACTCATATGAATGAATGTTTTCTGCACTACTATTTATAATTTTTGAAATATAAAAAGAAAGATTCTAAATGTTTAAGAACTGGGGAATGAACAAATAAAATAAAGAACAGTATTATACAGGGTTTAAAAATCTTATTTTCAAAAAACACTTAATATTACCGAATTTTAAAAGTGGTAACACTAAATCACAATAAAGATATACATGTATGTATATGTATATATATGTGAATGGATATATATATATATATATATATACATATAAAATGAGTGGATAGTACATATACATAATGAGTGGATGGGGCTGCTGCTACTAAGTCGCTTCAGTCGTGTCCGACTCTATGTGACCCCATAGATGGCAGCCCACCAGGCTCCACCGTCCCTGGGATTCTCCAGGCAAGAGCACTGGAGTGGGTAGCCATTTCCTTCTCCAATGAGTGGATAGGTATATACACGTATCTATAATGAATGGATATACATATATAAAACGAGTGGATATTATATATATAATACATATTCCCACCCAAGGAAACAAAATGACAAAGAAAATTCACCCAAATGTTAACAGAAGTAGAGAGATTATGGAGGATTTACTATTTATACTTTTCTATATTTTCTAAGTTTTCTATACACAAACAGGTATAACGTTAACAGGAAAAATAGCCAGTTACATTTAAAAAATAATAGGGTTTATCCTTAAGGCAAGAAACAAAAATTCAAAAGTAAACTTAACTACAGGGGGAAAATAAACCAACCTGAGACAGGATTTTCTCTGAATCTCCAACAAAAGGCGAGAAGAGATCAGCTCCGCTCACTGAAACGAAAGAGCAACGACAGCTCGTAGCCAGGGCCCTCACCAGCGTGGTTTTGGCACACCCAGGGGGCCCATATAGAAGAACTCCCTTTGGTTGTGTCAGGCCCATCCTAACAAATTCCCGAGGGAATTTCAGAGGCCACTCAATGCTCTAAAAGAACACAAAAAGAGACAGGACACAAAAGGAAACAGTTGTTTTAGTATACTGTGAAAAAAAAATTCAATAAATTCATTCAACAATCTTCAGCTACCTGCTATGAGCTGGCTATGGGGTCCATTCTCCACATAGCACCCAGTGAGCTTATGATGTAAGTGAGGTCACATCACTTCCTGCTTAAAATCTTTCAATGACTTGTCAGAATTACAATATTCAAATCCAAATTCCTAACTTATCACTGCTTACAAGGCCTAACATAACCCATCACCCAAACACCCCAGTTTGTTCCCATCTCAGGGCCTTTACTTGCTAGTCTCTCTGCTTAAATACTCCCTTACGATGTTTATGTGCTATTCTGCATCACTCAGGTCTCCACTCAACAGTCATTTCCTTGGAGAGGTCTTCCCTAACCACTGTAGTTAAAACAGACCTTCCTCCTCCTAGGCACTCTATGCTACTATCCATTTTTTATTTTTGGAGCACTCACTCATTTGCTAGCTGAAATTACTGTATTCCCATGTTGAGTTTGTCATTCTGCTCTTGCCAGAATGTAGGCAAAGTTCACCTCTAAATCCCCATCACCTAGAACACCACCTCCACAAAGTAGGCACTCATTAAATGTTAGCTGAATTATAAACAAATCCTCAGTACCTCTGAGGTAGATGGTTTTGTTATCATCATAATTTCAGAGATGCAGAAACTCAGGCTTAAAAAGTGAAGTAACCTGCCCAGGCCTTATTACCTTATTGAGAGTGAGGTAGCAGAACTAAGACTAATCCCAGACAGTGTAGGTCAAGAGCATGAGTTCTTAACTACTGATACATTGCCTCTACAAAAAAAGACAGACAAGATCCCCGTGCTAGAAACTCCTATTGTAGTTGGGGAGACAGGCTTAAAAACTAACAACCAGGCCAGAGTAGGGCATTCCGTGGACAAGGAACAAATATATACAGAGACACATCAAACCATCCAGTTCATCTCCCAGCAGTAAGCAGAACAGAGTGGAGGACGTGGGAGGCAAGGAGTGATGGAGCTGAAATGGAAGTAGGAGTCAGATCACACTGGGCCTTGACTGGTTAGTCAACAATGAGGAAGCAGTACGGAGAATGAACTAGAAGGAAACAAAACCAGAGGGAAGTGGTCAATGAGTGCAATGACTCAGACTACAGAAATAATAAGGCTGGGTATGTCACAGGCCCCAGAGACCGTGTGGAAGGGATGGACTTGAAACATAAAATGTAAGTGTATTTTTTGCAGGGGGGGAAGTCCAGAGGGGAAGTTACGTGACATACAACATGACATGCATTTAGAAGACAGGTCTCTGACTTAGGAGATGGGGTAACTGGCTGTCTTCACTGGGAGAGGGAATCCAGATGTAAAGACGGAATTGACAAGTTGAACTCTGGACATGCCACGCTGAATCCGAGATCCCTGGAAGTTAGTTAATAGGCAGGGAGTTAAGTAGTTTTGATGGTCAAAAGATTTATGAGTTAGCTGCTTTCAGGAGACAGCTGAAGCCTGGGACACACTTCAGGAGATGAGAGATGAAGGACTCACTTAGAAAATGCAAAAAGAGGACTCTTCGGAGCTTGAAGAATTAGCATTTAAAGTAAGGGAGAGGAGTGCTCAAAAAGGTAGGGAAGCCTAACATCTCAGAGCTAAAGGAAGACAGTGTGTCTCACAGCAAAGTATGGCTATTTTGTGAAGATTAAATGAGAGCATATAGGAAAATCAGAGCATATTTAAATGTGCTTTAAGAAAACAGGAGATATCAAGGGAAAATTTCATGTAAGGATATGCACGATAAAGGATAGAAATGGTTAAGGACCTAACAGAAGCAGAAGAGATGGCAAGAATACACAGAAGAACTGTACAAAAAAGTCTTAATGAACCAGATAACCAGGATGGTGTGGTCATTCATCTAGAGCTGGACATCCTGGAGTATGAAGTCAAGTGGGCCTTATGAAGCATTGCTATGAACAAAGCTAGTGGCGGTGACGAATTCCAACTGAGCTATTTCAAGCCCTAAAAGATGATGCTGTTAAAATGCTGCACTCAATATGTCAGCAAATTTGAAAGACAGCAGTGGCCACAAGACTAGAAAAGGTCAATTTTCATTCCAATCCCAAAGAAGGGCAATGCCAAAGAATGTTCAAATTATCATACAATTGCATCATTTCACATACTTGCAAGGTTATGCTCAAAATCCTTCAACCTAGACTTCAACTGGCTGAAGTGAACTGAAAACTAGATGTACAAACTTGATTTCAAAGAGGCAGAAGAAATCAGAGATCAAATTGCCAACAGTTGTTGGATCATGGAGAAAGCAAAGGAATTCTAGAAGAACATCTATTTCTGCTTCATTGACTATGCTAAAGCCTTTCATTGTGTGGATCACAACAAACTGTGGAAAATTCTGAAAGAGATGGGAATACCAGACCACCTAACCTGCCTCCTGAGAAATCTGTATGCAGGTCAAGAAGCAACAGTTATAACTGGACATGGAACAATGGACTGCTTTTGTGCTGTGATAGTAGAGTTGAATGACTGCAACAGAGACCATAAAACCTAAATTATTTACTTTCTGGTCCTCCACAGAAAGAGTTTACTGATCCTTTATCTAAATTAGAAACTCTTTAGAGCAAAAACTAAACAAAAAGGTGAAGAAAGAAAGTATGAAAAATGGCATTTGACGTCTGTAGAGTCCAGTTAAACAAGGACTGAAAGGCGATCATTAGATCCAGATGTTAGGTTCGCATTAGTGAAGGTGGCCGGAAGTTTCAGTCCCACTTGTTTACAGCACAAATGCATTACACTTAGACCATCATATTCTACTGGCTTAAGCAGATTCTCTATTTAATATTGGAGTGTAAGGTGGGATAAGATATTATGCTATTATCCTGCAGGCAAAAGGAACTAGATTAGGATTTTTATTATATATATAGATAGATTCTCTATCTCACCTGCTTTAACTTCAGTTTTATATCTTCAAGGCCACCAATCTGCTCCCAGCCAACAGGTTTGATGTCTGTCAGTCCAATGACACTTCGAAGTGATGAGGGTTGGATCTTTTTAAAAGCTTCAAGGAAGTCTGTTTCATCAATCGTCGGATTGTCCTGGTTCTGAAGTAATCCACCCCAAAAGCGAAATCAAACCAAAAATCAGGTGGGCCTTTTTTGTGGTACACAACATGATTACTTTTTTATTGTGATCCTTATTTGAATTTATACATCTATTTTGTTATCACTATAAAGAAATTTATAACACATGGTATGAAAAAATTAAATGTCTCCCCCTCAACTCCCACCAATCTTCATCCCCAGAGAATGTCAATAGTCTCCTGTGTATTCTTCCAGTATGTTTATGACATATGTATATCCTTTCAAAGAGACACACAAATGGGACCATACTGTACACATTAATTTGTACTTTTTCATCTCTCAAGAATCTTTTCATGTCCACAAATACATTAATACCTCATTCTTTCAGACAACTGCATAATATTACATGAATATTTTAATGACACCCTTCTGTTGAACAGAGGTTTTCCAGTCTTTTGGTGCTAAACACAAAGCTGCAACTGAATGTCTTTGTACACATGTTCAAGTATTTTATATAATACTTGCCTCAAAATAGAATTACTGTGCTTAAGAGTATGCACACTTACAATTTTCATAGCTACTATTAAAATGTGCTCCAAGCTGTACCAATGATATGAAGCTATTTTCCCCACACCTAACACTGGACATGACCAAATGTTAAATTTCTGCCACTGTGACAGAAAACATGGTGTTTACTATTGTGTTAATTAAATTTCTTCAATCAAGAGTGAGGTAAAAGGAATAATGGAATTAGAAAATAAATTTTTCAACCATTACAGTAATGGCTATTTGAGGCAAGAATCATCAGTGGATGCCAATCTAGGGGAGAGAAAGTCTGATGGGGAACGGATACTTGCATTGTCTCAGAGGGGCTCCTCACAGATTTCTTATTAGTTGCAAAGGGAAAAATAACAGCTCTACAGCAGATAAACTGGACCAATGCTTGACTAGTTGATTGCACCAGTCGTTCACGAGGGGCACCCCCAGTGAGAAGCAGGTGAACACACTAACATTTAATGCAGTGTTCCTAATGGGCATGAGTAACCTGAATCTAACTAGGAGGAAACAGACAAACCCAAACTGATAGATGCTCTGTAAAATCACTGACTTTAAATCTTTAAAAATGTCAATGTCAAAATTTCGCACACATACCAAGAAAGTGCTAAGGAAATGTTCAAAAGTAAAGAAAACCAAAAACTAAACATAATACATTACCCTGGACTAAATTCTACACTGAAGGAAAAGGGTGCTACAAAAATTGAAACAGCCACCAAAATCAGAATAGGGACTGTAGATGTGACAACATTTTGATCAGTGTTAAATTTCCTGAATATAATGAGATTATACACATTCGTTCATAGGAAATGGACACTAAAATATTAAGGGATAATGGATTAAAACTCATGCAACCCATTTTCAAATGATTCAGAAAAAAAAAAAAATGTGTATATGTATATATACAACTGAATCACTTGGCTGTATAGCAGAAATTAGCATGTAAATCAACTATATGTCAATAAAGTAAATTTTTAAAAAGTTCTTGGGGATTCTCTTAGTGGTCCAGTGGTGAAGACTCCATGCTTCCACTGCAGAGGGGCATGAGTTTGATCCCTGGTCAGGGAACTAAGATCCTGCATGGCGCATAGCACAGTCAAAAAGAGNAGAGGAAGATAAAGCTAATATGGCAAAATGCTAAAAACTTGTAAGCTTGGATAAAGGAATTAGCAGGAGTTCTCTACCTTCAACACTCCTTGAAGTTTTAATTTTTAAAATTTTTCCCCTGAAGTTTTAATTATTTCAATATAAGTTTTTAAAAAAGGGAAAGAATCAAAAAAGACTAATCTTTAAAGAAAGTTGAGGATTTTTCATGTTTATTAGTCATTTGTAATCCTTTCATTGTCAACTACCAGTTCATCAGTTCATATTTTACTACACATTTTCTCTTGGATTGGTCTTATTGCTTTGTTAAGACTTCTTTCTATACCAAGGAAATAAAGAAAACCAAAAACTAAACATAATACATTACCCTGGACTAAATTCTACACTGAAGGAAAAGGGTGCTACAAAAATTGAAATAGCCAGCAAAATCAGAATAGGGACTGTAGATGTGACAACATTTTGATCAGTGTTAAATTTCCTGAATATAATGAGATTATACACACTCGTTCATAGGAAATGGACACTAAAATATTAAGGGATAATGGGTTAAAACTCATGCAACCCATTTTCAAATGATTCAGAAAAAAAAAAAAACAATGTGTATATGTATACAGTTGACTCTTGAACAACATGGAGATTAATCCTCATTTAAGTAGAGGTAGCCCAACAAATCTGTTGTTCCCTGCATCCATGTGGATTCAGCCAATCCTGGACTGTGCACTACTTGTAGAATTTACTATCAAGAAATATCTATGTATAAGTGAACTGGTGCAGTTCAAACGCATGTTGCTCAAAAATCAACTGTATATATATAGAAAGACAAAGAGATGAGAGAAAAGAGAGGAAGATAAAGCTAATATGGCAAAATGCTAAAAACTTGTAAGCTTGGATAAAGGAATTAGCAGGAGTTCTCTACCTTCAACACTCCTTGAAGTTTTAATTTTTAAAATTTTTCCCCTGAAGTTTTAATTATTTCAATATAAGTTTTTAAAAAAGGGAAAGAATCAAAAAAGACTAATCTTTAAAGAAAGTTGAGGATTTTTCATGTTTATTAGTCATTTGTAATCCTTTCATTGTCAACTACCAGTTCATCAGTTCATATTTTACTACACATTTTCTCTTGGATTGGTCTTATTGCTTTGTTAAGACTTCTTTCTATACCAAGGAAACTGGTCTTTTGTCATGGGCTGAAAGTACTTTTCCCAGTCTGTCTCATGTCCTCGCCTTTGTTTATAGTATTGTTTGTTTTGCTTTTGAACTTGTCATCTTTTTTAAAAATAGTATTGTTTTGCCATTCTAAAATTGTCAAATCAGCAAATTATCTTCTTTTTGGCTATTAAAAATTCATATTTATATTTGTAATATCTGTATTATATTTAAGTATTTACCCTTACATCAAATTCTGAATATTTAGTTGTCCCCAAATTCCCATTTTCAATAACAAACTATTTTATCCCATTTATGTAAAATTAAATAAGTGAATATGTATATACAGAGCTATTCTTAACAGTGTTCCTAAATATGTTAGTAATTATAATCTCTGGGAGATGAGATTTCAGATAATTTTTATCTTATTTAATTTCTCACAAAGAATGTTATTAAATAATTTTTTTTAATAGAATCTTTTTTTTTTTCTAGCTAGCAGTATCAGATATTGGGTAAATGAATACTAATATACTTTAAGTGAACACCAACTAACATTTGAAAATCCCATTTACACTTCCAGATCATTAGTGTGTGTATTATTCACTTGATTTTCACAAACCTTTCAGGCAGATAAAATCATTTCCCTTCCATGTGTATATGTTTATGTGTTAAACTGTATTTCCAATACTTTAATAGACATACTTGACAAAAAGCTGAACAAACTCTAATGTGTCCTCATCTGCCCTGTAATAGACAGAGGCAGCAACAGCCCCTCAGCTTCCTGGAGAGGGAAAAAGAAACAGATGGAACCAGTACGTGCCCAGACGCCTCTGTCCACTCTTCCTTTTCGCCTGTCTTTTTCCCACTTTCCCTGGTTGTTTATGGACTCAGCCGTCACCTGCGGTAACTACGCCTGGGCAGGCCCTTCTGAAGCAGCAGTGGGCTCCACCCCAGGACAACTGCAGCAGTCTGTCCACCTAAGCCAGCGTGCTTCAGGCCAAACCTGGAACTTCAAAGCAGAGGGAATTCTAAACGTAAACCTCTGTTCCCACTTCCTGCACTCCTGTCCTCCCTGCAAGAGGCATATATTCTCACATCTTCACACATGGGACTTGTCATTGAATCTTTAAGCACTTTTGGTTCTAAACCCCAAAGATGAGGACTTAAAGTTCACATAATTCCTTCCCTACCTTCAGTGTAAGAGTAAAAATAAAGGAAAAGAAGATGAGGAAGGATAGAAATTAACTAGGTAAAAATGTTTTCAAAATCTAGGATAAATCATCCTTTTATGGTTTACAAAAAAAAAAAAGCTCTCAAAATTAGGGGTTAAAATTATCTACGATCACAGGACAATTTTAAGTGTTACAACAGAACCCCTAGCACAATGAAATTAATTTTTTCTGGAGGAGTTTAGGGACTCAGGATGACTTATTACATACAAAGTGAACAGATTTTCCAATCTATATTGTTGAAAACTACTACATTTAAATTAATATCCCAACTATTTTTTCAAAAGGCAGTCATGAATTAAGGATTTAAATGTCAAAGATGAATTTAAGTAAAATTCCAGGCACCTAATCTTCTTCAGAGTAAGAATAGGTTCTTTTCCCTACAAGATGAGTATTGATAAAAAAGGGGAAAACAGTATCTTAATAATGGAGAAATCTCAGAAATAACCACCTTATCCAAGATATCAAACCAGTAACAGGACAAAGATATATAATTTCTACCTAACAGATGCAATGAGAAGAACACAGTATCATTTCTGGAATATTTCTGCCAAAAATGCAAAACCTGAATCAAATCATGAGAAGGTATCAGTCAAACCTACACTGAGGAATATCCTACAGAACAACTGAACTGTACTCTTAAAAATAATTAAAATCATAAAAGGAAGACTGAAGAAGTTTCTAGATTAAAAATTAAGAAAACCATGACAACTAACAAATGCAATGTGTAATCCTGGATCAAAAAATATTTTTTTTCTTTTTTCCTTTTAAAATTTTTGCTACAAAGAAAATTAATGGGACAAATGCTGTGATTTGAATAAGATCTATATAGATTAAGTAAAAGTTGGTATTAATTTCTTCATCTTGATTATTGTACTATTGGTTAGTCTGATATTAGGAAATAAACACTCAAATTTTCAAAGTTATGTGGGCATCTTGGCTGCACTTGAGAGTATGAGTCTATATATAGAAACAACCATACACATGAAGAGAGTATGATAAAGCAAAGGTGGTAAAATGTTACATTTGAAGAATCTGGGTGAAGAAAATGCAAAAATTCTTTGTACTATTTTTGCAACTTTTCTCTAAGTCTGAAGTAGATTCAAAATAAAATGAAAATTTTAAAGACACATGTTTGATTCTTCTGGGGGTACAGTGTCTTTTTCCTTATTGCTCTGGGCTTTAGCACTATGGGAGAACGGGAACAGTCCCTCGGCTGACCTAGAGAAGTCAGCTCTCTGTTCCCACTTTCAGTCATACACTATTTATATATGGAATTCAGATGTAAAAATACATATAAGAAACAGATGTCTACAGATGTACAGAACAGACTTTTGGACTCTGTGGGAGAAGGCGAGGGTGGGATGTTTTGAGAGAACAGCATCAAAACATGTATATTATCTAGGNCTCTAATTGGAGAAAGTGAAGAGGAACTAAACAACCTCTTGATGAGGGTGAAAAAGGGGAGTGAAAAAGCTGATTTGAAACTCAACATTTAAAAAACTAAGATCATGGAATGTGGTCCCATCACTTCATGGCAAATAGAAGGGAAAAAGTAGAAGCAGTGAGAGATTTATTTTCTTGGGCTCCAAAATCACTGCAGACTGTGACCACATCCATGAAATTAAAAAGATACTTGCTCCTTGGAAGGAAAGCTATGACAAACCTAGATAGCATATGTAAAAACCAGAGACATCACTTGGCTGACAAAGATCTGTATAGTCAAAGCTACGGTTTTTCTAGTAGTCATGTATGGATGTGAGAGTTGGGACCATAAAGAAGGCTGAGTGCTGAGGAACTGATGCTTCTGAATTATGATGCTGAAGAAGACTCTTGAGAGTCCTCTGGACTGCAAGATCAAACCAGTCAATTCTAAATGAAATCAACCCTGAATATTCATTGGAAGGACTGATGCTGACGCTGAAGCTCCAATAATTTGGCCACCTGATACAAACAGCCGACTCACTAGAAAAGAACCTGCTGCTGGGGAAGACTGGAGGCAAAAGGAAAAGGGAGTTAAGAGAGGATGAGATGATTACTTAGCATCACTGACTCAATGGACATGAGCTTGCACAAACTCCAGAAGATAGTGAAGGACAGGAAAGCCTGGTGTGCTGCAGTCCATGCGGTTGCAAAGAGTCAGACATGACTTAGTGACTGAACAACAACAACAAGGTCAGGAAGTTTTTATTTTGTTATTTTTGAGAACCTACCACATTCTAGGAGCCAGTAAATGAGAAAGTCTACGTCCCTGCCCTTATGGATCTTATTCAGCAGACAAGTATTAGATGGTGTGAGGAAGAAATCCACTCAAGTTCTAAACAGATTATGCTAAAGTCTGCAATTATCAGCTGTCTCTTTACAGTCCTACCACAAAGTTCAAACATCACAACCACTATTCAAACTATCTAACAGAAATCAAGAATCAATTTAGGGCTGAAGTTTATAAAATAATACTTGAATATCTGAATATTTTGAATATTCAATCTTCCTGGCAACTAAGCAACTGTGGTACAGGATGCTGGCATTCAGACAAGGAATGAATAAATCTAGATAGAAGAGTTAACGTCTGCTTTGATTTAGTTCTTTCCTGCCTTCTTTCTTATTTCAACACATTTCTTGAGGCTATCCTTCTACTTTAGATTCTCATTCCAAATCTAAGAGTTTAATAGCTCGTGTGTTAGTCATGTCTGACTCTTCGTGACCCCATGGACTATAACATACCAGGCTCCTTGGTCCATGGGATTCTCCAGGCAAGAATACTGGAGTGGGTTGCCATTTAATAGCTTGTAGTAGTCCTTAAAAACTAACATTACTGATAACAGTATTCATCCTCAGGGCCTGCACAACAATCCCAAACGGCCCCCTGGCTTCTCAGAGCAATTTGACTCTGCGAGGGAAAGGGTCCTGGCTCGCAGATCATTTGTAGACCAGAGAACGGGTTCTCTAAAAAAATAAAAAGAAAAAGCCCCACTCCAGTTTGCCCAACTTCCAAAGCTAAGTGGGAAACGCCTCGGGGCAGCCAACCAGGGGCACAAGAGGCCAGGTTCAGGGGTAACGCGCTAACTGGCTGAGCATTTACCTCTCGGTCGAACCTCCCAGGTCTGCGCAGCGCTGGGTCTAGAGCATCCGGCCGGTTCGTGGATCCCACAACCACCACCTCGCGGTCCTCACCGATGCCGTCCAGCAGCGTCAACACCTGGGCCACCACGCGGCTCTCGGGGGCTTGGTGTGGGCCGCCCCGCCGGGGACACAGGGCGTCCACCTCGTCCAGGAAGAGGAGGGTGGGACGGCGGCTGGCCAGCTCCCGGGCGCGCTGGAAGATCCGCCGCACATTTTCCTCCGTCTCCCCGGGCCGGGAGCCCTGTAGCGCGGGGGCGCTCACCGCCAGCAGCTCCGCGCCCGTCTCCCGGGCCACTGCCCGCACTAGCTGGGTCTTGCCCACTCCCGGGGGGCCGGCCAAGAGCACCCCGCGTGGCACTTCTAGCCCTAGAGAGGCCAAGGCGCGCGGGTAGCGGAGCGGCAGGCGAAGGAGCTCCCGCAGCGAGTCGGCCGCCTCCGAAAGCCCCCCCAGGGGCACCTCGGGCTGCGGCTCCTCTTCCGACCGAGGCACCTCGCTCAGACTGATGTGGGTGCGAGGGGTAACCAGCCCGGCCGGATTCGGGCTGGGCACCCCGCTAACGATGTGCAGGGCGGCCACTGGACCCGGAGCACCTGGTGGAGCGGCCACCACGTGGCCCTGAGAGACTGGACGGTTCCTCAGCAGCTCCTGCACCGCCTCCAGCACCGCGGCTGTACTCGGGGCACCGGACGCGCCCGCTTGCTCCCTCAACTTCGGCCACACCGCGAGGCGCCGAAGGGGCGGGCAGGGCACTAAGCGGAATCTGTTCAGGTTAATAATCCCCCGAGACCCCGGCGCCCCCACTGCCGCCCCCGGGCTCATGCACTGCGGGTCCAGCTGCACAAAGCCGTCTGCTCCATCCCGCCGCGGCCAGGCGGTGCAGAGGCAGGAGCCACCGTCAGGTAGAGAGATCTTCACCGCCGAGCCCAGATGGGCGCCTAAGGCGCGGAGGGCGGTAGGGCCCAAACGACAGCGCTGGGTGCCTCGATCCCTAGCATCTACGGGTAGCAGCTTTAAGGGAGGTCCTTCCGGAAAGGAACCCGAGTCCGGAGCCATTTCTCGCGAAAGACGCAAAACCCAGGAAAATAAGGTAGGACTTCCACCGGGCCGGAAAGACCGGCACACCGCGGCCGGAAGCAGGTGATGCGCATGCGCCAGGGGAGCCGCAGATGCGGATCCCTGGTAGGTGGAAAGGACCAATAGGAAGTTAGACAATGATGGGACCGTCAGGCTACTTTGCCGCGGTGTTGGGTTTGGTAAAATCTCGTCGCCCTCTTTATAGCTTTGCAGACACTATGGGTGACTTCTGGAGTCCATAGTCACTTACTGACCTCTGCTGTCTGCTTCCAGCTTCTAGGCTGGAACAACCTAAAAAGAACCAGGAAACTATAATGAGAGGAGATCCTGAGATGGGGAAATCATCAATTAAACCCTGTTTTCTTCTTTCTCTTAATCCTATTGCTTTCTACTATCTTTGAAGAACAAAGACTGTAAATTCAGACTTCTCAAGAACAGCTTTGTAACTTTTAAAAATTTTTATTGGAGTATAGCTGCTGTATAATGTTGTTTCTACTGTACAGCAAAGTGAATCATATCCTCTGTTTTGGATTCCCTTCCCACCTAGGTCACCACATAGCATTTAGTAGAGTTCCCTATACAGTAGGGTCTCCTTAGTTATCTATTTTATACATAACATCAATAGTGTATATATGTCAATCCCAATCTCCCAATTCCTGCCACCCAACCCTTCCCTCTTGGGTATCCACACAGCTGTTCTCTATGTCTCTGTCTTTACTCTTGCTTTGTCTAAGGAGGCCTTACAAACAGCTGTGAAAAGAAGAGAAGCAAAAAGCAAAGGAGAAAAGGAAAGATATACCCATTTGAATGCAGAGTTCCAAAGAATAGCAAGGAGAAATAAGAAAGAATTCCTCAGTGATCAGTGCAAAGAAATAGAGGAAAACAATAGAATGGGAAAGACTAGAGATCTCTACAAGAAAATTAGAGATACCAAGGGAACATTTCATGCAAAGATGGGCTCAAAGGACAGAAATGGTATGGACTTAACAGAAGCAGAAGATATTAAGAAGAGGTAGCAAGAAAACACAGAAGAACTATACAAAAAAGATCCTCATAACCAAGATAATCACGATGGTGTGATCACTCACCTAGAGCCAGACATCCTGGAATGTGAAGTCAAGTGGGCCTCAGGAAGCATCACTA